TCCACCTCCCCCCGCCCCCTACCCCCGTCCCTGCCGCTGAACACGGGATCGCGCTTCTTGCGGCTATGGCGAGGAAGATCGCGCAGTCTGACGCTTCTATGAAGGCTGGTGAGCGTTCTGTCTCTCTTTTTCTGTGGCACGTACACACTTGTGTCTGCTTTAATTTTTCACGTGTCGTTTTTTAGTTCTGATCATTAGGATCGGGATCTGAGTTAGGGGGTGTACTAGATTGGAAGCAAATGGCATATGTGAGTTGGAGTTTTCTGCTGATTGTTCTTTTTTAAGTATTTCGAAGATGAGTGGGTACTCTCCAGGCAGGATTTTTTGTTGCTAGCTTTCCATTCCCGTGTCTTTTCCCGCCATTTCTGTTGCATCTCTTCAGATTACCACTGATTGCGCACTAAATATTGAATTATCGGATGCAGATCTGTAAACTTATGGTAATTTTTGTTTATTTTGAGTTGGTAGTGTATTACTATTGCAGGGGATGCTTAACATCCTTAGAATTGTTTTGATATGCCATTGCACAAGATCTTATCTCATGTAGATGATTATGTTAGCTATTAAGACTGATTGGGTAAGTGAGAAGGAATTTGCTTGCATATTCAACCTACTATGCTTCAATAACTGTTGATTTTATTTATTGAGAAATATATACACAACTTCTTAATTTTTCCGTGGTGATTTATTTTAGATCCTTCCAAGCTTATAGCTGGAAACTACTACTTCAAGGGTTTTGACTTTATTCCAAATACAGAGGACTTGACCTTGTTTAAGAAAATGAAAAGCCAATAATCATAGTGGGTTCTATATGTTGTCCAAAAACTATACACCTTAAGAATTGGGGATACATGATCCATAGTTTTGAGCTGCCTTTGATTCTCGTTCACTTTTTGGCCCAAATATACTATATTGTTTTATCAGACTGATAAAATCATTACATCTTGAAAATATCACTTGTTTGGTTATTCCTTGGACATGATTGATTGATGACATATACACGTAAACTGGATTATTTATGTTGTTTTTAACTGAGATAACATCCCATTGAAAATTGATAAGAATCCTTTGGTTGACCTGCAAAAGCACAAATTTCATACCTGCTGAATTCCCTTTTATGGAAACATTGCAATGCAATTGAAAGGTAAAAGAGATGTTTAGACTGCCAAGATTGTTTGGGCTGCTATATGATTCTTCTCAAAGGCTTTCTTTTCAAGGAATAGGTTAATTAGATAAAGCACAAATGCACTGATGTGAACTGTTTGAAGAAAGGTTCATGACGTGCTGTGGAAGGCCAGGCCTGTTTGAATATGCT